GTATATATGTAATCAATGTATATGCAATGATGAAAAAAAAATTTTTTTTGCAACTGTCCTTCTCAATAAGGACAACAATGAAGAAAGAACAGCAAAACACATTGGAGAACATATATTGTATTTGTTTTTTTTTTTTTTTTAAAGACATTATAACTGTGATTGACTAAAAAAAAAAAAATTAGGATAAAGAATAATTGAGTAATGTGTTAGACTGAAAAAAAAAAAATCAAACATTTGCTAATCACAACAAAAACGAAAACAGTTTTAAGTATCCATCCGATAAGGTAAACTTCTTTTTTGTAACATAAGAAGTCAACAATCAGACTAAACAACATTTGAGGTCTAACTAAGTAAGCAAAAGAACAAAAAATTGAAAAGAAAAACAAAACAGATTTTATATGATAATCATTGTAAATATTATTTTATAACGTATACAATAAAGTGAAGAGAAGAAAAAAAACGAGAATTTGAACTCAATCCATTGTATTTTGTTCGTAAACTTTTTTGTTCTTCCTTCATTTTTTTCTCTTCTCAATTCGCATATGCAGCTTTCTCAGTGATCTGTAGATAAAAAATCTAACTAGCCAAAAAAAGTTTATTTTTTTGAAATTTTCTGTCTCTTTTTTTTCCCTGAATACTTCCAATTCAGACTGTTGCTTTTAAAAGAAAGGGGCAAAAAGTGCAAAAACGTTTCCAGGATATGGACTGAGTAATTGACTGAAAAAAAAAAAAGAAGAAGAAAAAGAAGGACAATATAATTTTTTGATTATTTAATATATTTTTTTTTGTTGATTCACTGAACAATCATCAATATAAAAAAGAAATAATAATGAACGATTTTCTTGTTAGGTACATCACTGAGATTACTGCTGCAGCTGCTGCTACTGTTGTTAACTGTTATTGTTGCTGTTACTGCTACTCGTGCCAATAAAGTTACTGCTATTGCTGCTGCTGCTGCTGCTGCTGCTGCTACCGCAATTATTGAGGCTGCTGTTGTTGAAGCTGCTGCTAGTTGTTGAACAAAAAATTTTCCATAATAATTGGAAAAACCAGTATATTACTGAAAATTATACAATCATATTTATTGCTTTTACATAAGTTTACTGTAAATGTTAAAAAAAAAAAAAATTAAATGTACCAAATTAAGAAGAGAAAAGAGGTTGGAAAGAAGAAGAAAAACAAAAACAGTATGATGTTTTCAAAAATAATAAAAATCAATATTATCAAAACTTTGGTTTTTTAAAATTTAAAATTTTGTGCTGCAAAAATAAGCAGAACTTCTTTGTTAAGGTTGTCCAAAAAAATGTTTTAACTGAGCTGTAGATTGTAAGTGTCTAAGTGTCGATCTGTGAACTTCAGAAAACTTCCAAACAGCTTAATTTGTTCATTGTAACACCACTGTTCAATATTTATTCATTTCAAAGAATTTGTTATGCTAATTCTAGCAGAAGTTCTTTAAAAGTAAAACAAAAACGAAAAAAAAAAAATGGCGGTGTTTCAGCGATAAATCTTTAAGCGTTTTAGTTGGTTGTTGATGTCACCAGATGTCTCGTATTTTAAAAAGTTCAAAAAATGGTTTTCAAAAAACAGTAATATTTTTGAGTAGGCAATAAATTCCAAATTAATTTTTCTTTTTTTTGCGGGGGGGATATAAAAAGATAATAGATATATGGATAACCAAAAAATTTACCAAATGGGCTTGTGATTCATCAGCTGGTACAGCCGAATAATCACCGGGATGTAAGTTCCAGTGACTATTGTCATCACCTTTCAACGAAGCTCCAAGTTTTGGGGGATTACTCAGCAATGGTCCTGCAAAAAAAATATATCTATATATAGAAATGAAATAAATGCATCTTAAGTAGTTACTACAATTAGAATAACGCTTATTATAAACCAAAAGTAATTGTATTCTTATTGTATCAAAAACTTAAAACTAATTATTCAAACCGTCTAATGCTTTTGTAAATTAATAATAACCTCGTTCACTATGATGTTCTGTTAGACGATGTTCGGCATCTGAAACAGCCAAGTTATCCTTACTGTAGTGGTAGACAATACCGGCACCAAATGAATCGCCAACAACATTGATCGATGTTCGAACTCGGTCTCTGCAACATTCAGTGTTTTATTGTACAGTGAAACTGTTAGTAAGATATAAAAATCACTAAATGCATTTTTCTCTTTTTTAAATCAACAGAACAATATGACAGTCACATACAAAAGCCAGTCGACGGCTACAATCAACGATACATCCTTAACTGGAAGACCAACAGCTGAAAGAACGATAAGCATCGTTACTAAACCGGCCGACGGTATTGCTGCAGCTCCTATTGAAGCCAGTGTTGCTGTAAGACTAAAAGAAAAAGCTAATTTATTCCATCAATGACTGACAAGAAGTATATTTGTGAGATGTAAAATAGAACTAAGAATTTATTTTTAATTTAAAAAAAATTAATAACTAACATTTTTCTGTCTTTATTACTCTCCTCACCTTCCCCTCTTTTCCTCTCTCCCCCACCCCGCAAAAAAGAGGAGTAAAACGTTTAAATATGCTCACCACAAATAAGAAACAGTGCTCTGTTGTTGCTATCAAAAAAATTTTGAACTCTTCAATATTACTTAATTTGAATAGTAAATAAAAAGATCATTTCTTTTCCTTTTTTTTTTTTCTGTTGCTCTATTTAAACAGTTTCAGTTGTTTCACCAACAGAAAAGTAAAAAAAATTGTATACTCATATAAGAGTAGATAAATAGATAACTATATCCAAACCTGACAGTAATAACTTGACCAAATGTTAATTGCACACCGTTCATTTGGGCAATAAATATTGCTGCTACCGCTTCATACAGTGCTGTACCATCCTAAATCATCAGCAAATTAATTGACAACACTTATACTGTTGAAAAATTGCAAAATTTTGCTTTTTTTTTTTTTTT